GTTTTTAGCAGAGACATGCAACAACAACACACACGCGCACACACACACACGTACACACACACACAATCCCTCTGCAGTTTTGGAGAGATCAGCTGCAGGATTTTAACAGGAATGTTTTGGTCATTGCATTTGCACTTTCATGGACAACTTTTAATTTGATCAGCAAGACATCTTGGAACTCAATCCTCTGTTGGATCATGGGAAATCAAGACACCAGGAGGAATTGAAAGAGGCTTCCTCTTCTCAGGAAGAAGCCATTTCCTTCTCATATAGGGCTGTATTCAAACATCGTGTGGAACTGTACAAATATTTATACCAAAAATATAGATAAGAAAAGGTGGGGCTATACTCGCAACAAAAAAGAATGCTGTTCCTGCGCCTGCCGGTCATTTCCAAGAAGCTGAATCTTTGAGATTGATTCTCAGTGGAGGGCTTAGATCATACAAAAATCTTTATTGGGTCTGTGTGTTTTCATTTTCTTCACTGTTTACTTTTGTTTGTGTTTGTTTGTTTGTTTGTTTGTTTTAATCTCTACAGCACACTTAATGCAACTTTTGAAATCTGCGGGTTAATGTCTTGTGGAAATTTGCAGAGGGGCAGGTGTGTGGTAAACGGGTAATGCATGGGAAATAATGAGAAGCAGCTCACAGAGTTTCAACTTCTTTTCTTGTCCCCACCACCTTCCAAGAACCTGCGAGGGTAGTAGTCATCTTGTCCCCTTTTTCATCTTCAGCACTTTAATTTTTTTGCCTTACTTTCATGTGCAATGAGAATTACTTAAGAAGTGGTAAAGCATGTAGCCTTTTTTAGTAACCTTGGAAACTGTAGTAATTCTAAGGAATCATGAACCTTGCCTGGACATTTGCCACCTAAAAGATCAGTGTGGTGCTGCGTTCTGGCCAGTAAATTCCATGTTTTTGGCTATATCTCATCCAAACTGAGCGGTTTCTGTGTATATATAGAAGGTAGAAATGAAAAGTGAGAAAATATTTGAAAGGGATTATATTAATTGCTAAATATTTTATTCACAAAGGTCAATAACATGGCAAGATAAAATTATTTGTATAGTTTTGTCTGAATGAGCGAGAAAAATGTGGATGTACTGTTTGTATATATTGTATATATTAAAACAAAGAGATATGTGCATGAAATCAAGAAAAAAGAAATGAACAAAAGCAAAGCATTAGTGGCTATGGTCTGTAAAATGAAACAAAAAAAACTTTATTTCACTATAAGAGTACTTTATTTTAAATGTTCTTTAGAAGAACATTTTGCTAAAGCATGACTAAACTGCAAAAAAAAAAAAAAAAGCTACTGTATTTAGACTTAGGAAAAAAGGCAGAGTAACATTACTTAAAAAAAAGGATATGTTTACATTTAATTTTAGCTACCAGGAGTTTATTTTATTTAAAATTTTTTTGCCAATGGTGCCAAGTAATGTGAATGCTAATACTGCTTAAGAAAATTAAGTTACTTTTGCAAAACGGATAATCATAAGATGAATCAGTATGTAGCTTAACACCACCCACTCACTCCAACAAAGAACACTTAGAATGATCAAAAACCTGACAAAAGAAATAGTATGAAAAGTAGAAAAATGTCACGTTTCCATATCTCCTGCTGGAAATCAGAAAACGTATTAAAATTGCACACAAAAATAACTAAAAATGAAAAAGATGCAGACTGGTCTTTAGAGATGGCATGGTATATTACTATTTCCACATAATAAGGAGCCAAAGAAATCTGATGCTTTTAACAACGAAACTAATGTTAAATTGAGAGAATAAAGTTTGCATTTGCTGATGCCAGTTTAAGTTCCCAGGTTACGTTTGAGGATCAGTTGGTGTAAAGCTGAGATGTTTTTTCTTGGTTCTGGCTGCCAACCGTGAGTTAAAACTCAAGGCTTGTTGTGAAGCCTAAAAATATTCACAAATAAGCTTTTAAACTGGTGTCTTTGGAAGGAAGTTCGAATCAAAAAGATTGTGGTAAAAACTGGGGTCAGTGCTCTTGGTGCCTTTTCTATAATTGTACTTGTTTTTTAATTACTTCCTTTCACTGCCAACCTCGAATTACTGTACAGTATATGTCTTTCTGCTTGTGATCAGCTTTGACAACAGTGACAGCCCCACAACTAGTAGCCACCTGTACATTTGTAAACTGACCTGACTCAATTTTGTTTTTAAATGTGTGGGTTATGTTGCAGCTATTGCAGTCCCCCAGAGTCCTATTATTTTACACAATTTGACCTATAGGAGGACACTGAGTAATTTACAAACATAAATGCATTCATAAATGGGAACAGAACGTGAAAGCCAGCTCTTTCAGAATACCCCATATTAATACTGAATTTAGATATCTTTATTCCATTTATTATGGTACAAATAACTGATCTTTTGACCAGAGTAATGACCTCAGTGGATTTGCTTTAACCCTCACATATATATTTTTTTTAATGTTTCACGTTACATTATTAGCTGAATACGTTAAAAATTACAGATGATAGAGACTTCCATAGAATTAAGAGGGTTCTCATGGAGGGGATAGGAAGTAGGTTTAAAGCCTGCCGATGTAACCTACCAGTACAACTGTGAATCCTAGGTGAGGCAAAAATGCACTTCCACTGAAATGAAGCATTTCTGACCGCTTTTTCTTGGTTATGAATCTTAATTTCGAATATAAGATGATAGGTAAGCGCAGCTTTCTTGGATAATCTGAATTCCCAAGTGCCAGGAGTAGGATTTCATTATAAAATTAATAGCTAATCTTATTCTATCTCCTGAAGATTTAATTGCTATTGTTACCCATTCGAAATCAGCTGTACTGTGTGAACGAAATAAAAGACAATAACTCGAACCCCTCTCTGGCTGCACGGTCGCTTATGGCAGTTCCACACAGTAGTTGGCGCCCAATGGGGGGTCCCTGAGACTTGCATGTAAAACTAGTCTAGATGTCTTCTTTTTTGTAAGTTTTATTTTTGTAATTGTGCATGTAAAGCATCATTGAATCAATGGATCTGTTGAAGAACTCAGCTGCTGGAAACCATGCAAAATGTTTTGAATTGCCCTTAAAATATGGAAAATGTTTTCTGAATGCTTTATATTCTTTCTGCTGTAAATTAAAAATGAAGAAAATTTCCCCATATTACGTGTGTGTTTTGCTTTAATGTGACTGGGTAGTGAAATCTAAGGTGATAGGCACATGTTTCAGACCATACGTAACAATTTCAAATATTTCCTTCTGATCCAGATGCAATGTTTTGACACTGAATGTTACGTTGTTTCAGATAGTTCCACGAACGAAAAAATGTCTTGGAGCCACCATTCCGAGAGCTTTCGCCTCTTTCCAGCACCTCTCAACATAATCATTTGTGTGAGGCAGTGCAGTTATTTGAAAGATAAAGACATTAATTTAATTCACCTTTTCAGTTACAATCCTCTGAAGTCTTCTAAAAGGCATTTTGCAGCAGATTCCGAACGTCCTCCTTCCTGAGTGTTCTGTTATCACTGTTCCATTCCCTTTCGTTATCTCCCTAGTGGTCCCTCTGCCATCTAATCCATCTGGCCGCTACTGCCAGAGAAATTCTGCATCACGGATCTCCCAAGTCCGCGAGTCAGTGGTTTCCAGGGCCCACTACATTTAAATGACATTTTTCTTGTTTCTCCTCTTTATTCAGTCTTCTTTTCAGTTGTACCCATCCTGCACCTTCTAGGTGGTCTGTGCACAGTGCGTCCATTTTCACTGCTGTCTTTGTTCATGGTGTTTGTCCATCCCTTACCTGGAAAGTTCGCTTTTCCACTACTCAAGTCCCACCGCCTTTGTGACACTCTCGTTTATTCGAATATAGATTAACGTTTCCCTTTTCAAAGTATTCTATGTAGAGTTCGAAAAGACTGCATAGTACTGTATTTTTTACTTCTCATCCAAGAGACCCCCCGAATGACCTATTAGTGGTTGTTTTTTATGTAGGAAACTGTTGGTAGGAATATTTCAGTAACAAATACATGACAAAGTAACTCACTGCGTTCAGATTTGTGCTTCCCTCCCTTCAACCAAAACCTGAGGACCTATTCTGTGCTAGGGACTGAAAATACAGAAATGAAGAAACTACAGCCCTGACGCCAAGGCTCTCGTAAGCAGGTTATAATATGATCTACAGCGACAAATATTTGTGTTACCGATGAAAACCTGAAGAACGGGGACCTAACCCAACCCCAAGCCTGTGACAAATACCCGAAATGGACTTCTTATTTTAACTACTTTCCTAGAGAAACATGGTGCCCCAGGATCACTAAACTAATCTGGAACGTTCAGCAGCAGCCAATCATCTGTCTCTAACGCTGTTAGAGCGAAGTGCTCCCTAGGCCCAGAGTAACATGAGATGCCCCCACCCTCACCCACACAGTCCCTCGCCAGTGCCTAATGCCCCACCTTTGCAGATCACGTCCCCAAGCGCCAGCGCGGGCTCGGTGCGGAGAGGGAGCTGTATTGATTGACCTGCACTCCGCGTTTCGGAGCCCGAACCGCCCTGGAACCCATGTGGCCCTCAAGTTCCCAGGTAGCTTCGTCCCGGAGGCGCCCTGGACGCGCCCGCCCACTTCCGGCGCGCCCCTCGCGGCCCAGCGAGCCCCGCCCACTCCCGCCGGCCCCGCCCGGTGACGTCTTTGCCTCGCGCCGCGCCGCCCCGCCCATCTCCCTGGCTGCCTCGGGTCCCCGCTCCGCTCCTCTCCCGACCCTCGCTCGCCGCCGCCGCCGCCGCCAAAATGTAAGTGACCTTAAGCTACGCGGGCGGCTTCGGGCCCCTCAAGCGGCAGCTCGAGGCTGGGACTGCCGTACTGCCCAGTTACCGCCAGCCGCCGCTCGGACGTAGGCCGGGGCCGCGCTGGGATACCAAGGCCTCGGGGTGGGCGGTGGCCCTGGGTCGCGGGCTGCGGACTGGCTGGGTGCGTCCCGCGGCCAGCGGGCGGACGCGGAAGGGGCGAGGGCGGGGCGGCGAGGCGCTTCCCGGAGGAAGTTAGCTGCCCGCCGCTCCCCGCTCCTCGCCCCTTCCCCTTCTAGCCCCCGAGGTCCGTGAGAGGAACCGGGACAACTGGTGTGGTTCGGGACCGCCCGCGCTCAGCCCGGTGCTGCGCTGGGACCCAGAAGTTGCGAAGGAAAGGACCTCGGGCTTGTCCTGAGCCCCTATGGCCCGAGGTGCTCCTGGCCTAGCTAGGGGCATCTACACTGGGAAGATGACTTTACCGTGGGCCTTCGCTCTCAAGCGAAAGCGCTCTTGTGGCCCTTGTAAACCGGTGCATCCAACGGTAACGGTTAGAGAATGCTAATTGTTAAGAATCAGAAGGATCCTCTCTTCCACCTCTGTTTTGCTCATTGCTCACCGTCGGAGGAAGCCCCGGGTTTCTTCCAAGAGCTGGCGACACCCCTCGAATGTTACTGCGAAGGCTGTTGTGCCAGTAGATCACAGTGGTTAAGATCTAGAGCCAGGTCGGGTGTGGTGGCTCATGCTTTTAACCCCAGCACTTTGGAGGCTGAGGGAGGTGGATCACAAGGTCAGGAGTTCGAGACCAGCCTGGCAAACATGGTAAAACCCCGTCTCTACTAAAAGTACAAAAAATTAGCCGGGTGTGGTGGGGTGTGCCTGTAATCCCAGTTACTTGGGAGACTGAGGCCGGAGAATCGCTTGAACTCAAGAGTCTGAGGTTGCAGTGAGCGGAGATCGCACCATAGCGCTCCAGCCTGGGAGACAGAACAAGACAACGTCTCAAAAAAAAAAAAAAAATCTAGATACAAGGTACACAGGACCTTATCTAAAAACAGGCTGTACTACAGCCAGCTGTGTTGACTTTCTAAACCTCACTTTACTCATCTGTAAAATGGGAGTAATACTCCCCTCAAAGAGTTATGAAGGTTAAAGGAGAAAATGCGTGGGAAGAGTCTAGCACCATAGCATGGTCCTTACTTATTATATAACAGACACTAAACTCTGAGGACAGAGATGGGATCTGTTGTAGCCCTGGTCATTGACACATGACAGATGTAAAGTAACTGTTCAAACAGTCCATCAGACTGTTGTATACCAAGGCACATGCTAGGTGCTATTTAGGATACAGAGAATGAGAAGATCCAAGAATCTGTGATTTATTCGAGGAGGCAGGACTTTGTACCTGAAAAACCAAAGTGATGCTGTCCAAGTAATGGAGCCAATAATGACTTGAGAGTCAGAGGGGTTAAGAAAGATCTGCCTGGGGAGAAATAAAGCCTTTGATGAAGATTTTTAAAGGTGAGTACCTTCCTGGGCCGGGTGCAGTGGTTCATGCCTGTTGTAATCCCAGTACTTTGGGAGGCTGAGGCAGGTGGATCACTTGAGGTCAGGAGTTCGAGACCGACCAACATGGCGAAATCCCATCCCTACTAAAAATACAAAATTAGCCAGGCATGGTGGCACATGCCTGTAGTCTCAGCTCCTTGGGAGACTGAGGCAGGAGAATCGCTTGAATCCAGGAGGCGGAAGTTGCTGTGAGCCGAGATCGCCCAGTTGCACCCCAGCCTGGGCAACAAGAGCAAAACTCCGTCTCCAAAAAAAAAAAAAAACTTAAAAAAAAAGAGTACCTTCCTAAAAGAGGAAGCATTGCTTCAACTCACCTTTCCGGAAAAGGAAAAAAAAAGGACAGTAGAGTTTACCTATCTTGGGATCAGATACTAAAGGGATACAAAGTAGATCCTATTAAACCTTCACTTTTGTCCCTTTAGTAGGTGGGACAGTCTTGGAAATTATAGCAAAATTAGAAGAAATGCCATTAAAATTTGTTCATTGCTTCAGGAAGAATTTCTTTTTCTGCTTTAGTTCTGATGTAAGACATTGTTAACAGTGAGAGTCCCAGAGTAACACCTTTCTTTTTTTTTTTTTTTTTTGAGACAGAATTTTGTTCTTGTTGCCCAGGCTGGAGTGCAATGGTGCAATCTCAGCTCACTGCAACCTCTGCCTCCCAGGTTCAAGCGATTCTCCTGCCTCAGCCTCCCGAGTAGCTGGGATTATAGGCATGTGCCACCACTCCTGGCTAATTTTATCTCTGTTTTTTTTTTTTTTAGTAGAGACGGGGTTTCTCCATATTGGTCAGGCTGGTCTCAAACTCCTGACCTCGGGTGATCCACCTGCTTTGGCCTCCCAAAGTGCTGGGATTACAGGCGTGAGCCACTTCGCCCAGCTAACATCTTTATACTTAAGAAAATATATTTAGAATGGGAATTTACTCATGCCCCTGCCTTTACATGTTCCAGGTCTACAGGTCCAGCTGCTGCCACTGGCAGTAATCGAAGACTTCAGCAGACGCAAAATCAAGTAGATGAGGTATTGCTCTGACATGTTGGAAACATAAATTTTAAACAAGTATGAGAGCACTCTGGAAATCTGTTTAGAAAAAGTATCATAAAAGTATGAATGTAAAGCAAATTCTGACTGTATCATAATTGTAACAAAATTTTGCTCCCTGCTGTGCTGGAAGATCTGATCTAAGCAAAATTCAGACTGTAGGCTTCATGCTTGATTTCCTGTGATAGAATCACAAACCTGTATATAACATTATCTCAGGAAAAATAAAAAATCATTTACCTAAAGCATGAACACCACTCCCTGAGTATATTCCCCAAGAACCCCTTGATAAAATAGGATAATAAAATGTTAAGGATAAGGGCTGTAGATTGCTCAAGCCAAGACCAGTTTTTCTGATGAGATTTTTTTATGAAAATGCTTTGTCTTGTAGTCTGACTTAATAGTTACCCAGCCTGAGCAAGCCTCTCTGTAAAATTCCTCTCTGACAGTTGTCCATTGACACACAGAAGGTAAAGGCTGTCAAACTCCATTAGCCCAGCAAATCTCTCTTTGTAGAATTCTTGAGCTAGAGGACGTTCATCTTTTGTTCTGCGCTGTGTGTGGAGAACCACAGCAGAAGATTGAGAAATTCAGTCTAGTATTTCCACATTCCTAAAAGCTGTCACTGTCTGACAAATATATTTCAGTCTTTCTACATTTAGCTGTCCTAAAAAAAAGCAGTTAAAGTTATGTTAGATACTGTTGTTAAATAATAATGTTTTGATCTGATGGTTTTATGAACTTCTAGACATTTTAGATTTTCGTAGTAAGAAACCCATTATAATTCTGTCCTGCCTGAAGCTTTTGTTTACTTACCATATCAAGTTGGATTTTTTTTTAACCAAAGGAATTTTAAGGAGAGTTTTTTTTTTTTTGAGGCAAAATTCCCATAATGTACAACTAAACATTTTAAAGTGTATAATTGAGTGTCATTCAGGATATTCATAATGTTTTGCAATCATTGCCTTTCTATTTTCAAAACTTTTCCATCACCCCAGAACACCTCATAGCCATTTAGTAATCATTCGCTATTCCCTCTTCCTCCCTTTCCCTGGTAACCTCTAATCAGCTTTCTATTTCTGTGGATTTGCCTGTTCTGGGCATGTCATATAAAAGGAATCATACAATGTGTGGCCTTTTGCATTTACCTTCTTTCACTTAGCACAGTATTTTTCTCATTCATTCGAGTTGTAACGTATGGTACTGTGTTCCTTTTTATGGTTGAGTAATATTCTATTGTGTGTGTATACACAATTCGTTGATCCATTTGTTAATGACTCTTGCTGTTGTTTCCACCTTTCAGCTATTACGAATAATGCTGTTATGAATATTCACAGACAAGATTTTGTTTAGACATATGCTTTCATTTCTCTTTAATATATACCTAAGAGTAGCATTGCTAGGTCCTAGTAACTCTGTTGAGTTTTATGAGGAACTGCCAAATTGTTTTCCACAATGGCCACATCACTTTATTTTCCCACCAGCGATGTCCAAGAGTCCCTATTTCTCAACATCCTTGCCAACACTTGTTTTCCATTGTTTTGATTATAGCCATCCTACTGAGCTCTTTGGTCTTCATTTGCGTTTCTCTAATGATTAGTGATGTTCAGAATCTTTTCATGTGCTTATTGGCCATTTGTGTGTCTTTGAAGTAATGTCTGTTTAAGCTTTGCCCATTTTTTAATTGGGTTGTTTGTCATTCTGTTTTTGAGTTGAGAGTTTTTTTTATACATTCTGGATATTAAATTTTTCTTTATCAGACGTGATTTGCAAATACTTTCTCCCATTCTGTGGGTTGTCTTTTGCATTCTTCATAATGTTTTTTTTTTTAGTTTTTAATTTTTTTGAGACAGAGCCTTGCTCTGTTGTCCAGGCTGGAGTGCAGTGGTGCGATCTCAGCTCACCGCAGCCTCCGACCCCCAGGTTCAAGTGATTCTCCTGCCTCAGCCTCCAGAGTAACTGGGATTACAGGCGCCCGCCACCTTGCCCAGCTAACTTTTTGTATTTTTAATGGAGACGGTGTTTCACCATGTTTGTCAGGCTGGTCTTGAGCTTCTGACCTCAGGTGATGTGCCTGCCTTGGCCTCCCAAAGTGCTGGGAGTACAGGCGTGAGCCTCCACTCACAGCCTGATAATGTTCTTTGATGCACAAAAGTTTTTAATTTTTATGAAGTCCAGTGTATCTGTTTTTCCTTTTGTTGTTCTTGATTTTGGTATCAAATCTAAGAATCCATAGTCAAATCCAAAGTAATGAAGATTTACCCTTATGTTTCCTTCTAAGAGTTTTATGGGTTGAGCTCTTAGATTGTTGATCCATTTTCGTACATAGGGTGAGGTAGGAATTCAACTTCATTCTTTTGCATGTTGGCTCTTCAGTTGGCCCAGCACTGTTTATTGAAAAGACTGTTCTTTCCCCTGTTGGACGGCCTTGGCACTCTTGTACCATAGATCCTTGGGTTGATTTCTGGACTCTTGGTTCTGTTCCATCAGTCTATATGTCCTTATGCCAGTATCACACTGTTTTGATTACCGTAGCTTTGTAAGTTTTGAAATTGGGACGTGACTTTGGGGAGTACTGCTCCCTTAGCAATATTTTTAAGTCTTCTAGTGTGTAAACATAGGATGTCTTCCCATTTAATGGTGTCTCTTAGCAATTTCTCTTAGCAGTGCTTTCTAGTTTTCATTGTCAAGTCATTCACCTTTTGGTTAAATTTATTCCTAGGTATTTATTCTGTTGGATACTATTGTAAACACAATTGTTTCCTCAATTTCCTTTTCAGATTATTTGTTGCTGGTGTATAGAAACACAACTGATTTCTATGTGTTTCTGTTGTACCCTGCAGCGGTGCTGGATTTGTTAGCACTAGCAGTTTGTTATGGATCCTTTGGTATTTTTTTATGTAGAAAGAATCATCTGCAAGTACAGATAGGTTTATTCTTCTTTTCCAATTTGGATGCCTTTTCTTTCTCTTAACTAATTACTTTGTTTAGAACTTCCAGCACAGTGTTGAGTAGCAGTATGAAAGTGAACATCCTTGTCTCATTCCTGATCTTAGCAGGGAAGTCTTTCATCGCTGAGCATACTAGTTGTAGATTTTTCCATAAACGCCCTTTATCATATTAAGGAAATTCCTTTCTATCCTTAATATGCTGATTGTTTTTATCATGAAAGAGTGGGTCCATTATTTTCAAAGTGAAAGTTTGTCTCAAAGTAACAAAGTGCTGACCTGGAAGAAACAATGTGCCTGTACATTGTCTTTGAAATCTCTGTTCCTCCATTTTTTTTGAGACAGAGTCTCATTCTGTTGCCCAGGCTGAAGTGCAGTGGCGCCATCTCATCTCACTGCAACCTCTGCCTCTTGGGCTCAAGTGATTCTCCTGCCTCAGCCTCCTAAGTAACTGGGATTACAGGCACCCACAACCACGCCTGGCTAATTATTTTGTATTTTTAGTACTGAGACAGGGTTTTACCATGTTAACCAGGCTGGTCTCGAACTCCTTTGCACAGGTGATCCACCTGCCTTGGCCTCCCAGAGTGCTGGGATTACAGGTGTGAGCCACCGCGCCTGGCCCCTGTCCTCCGTTCTTTGTGCATTACTTGCTGTGATCACACTCATCTAGGTGGTGGACATAATGCGAGTTAACGTGGACAAGGTTCTGGAAAGAGACCAGAAGCTCTCCGAGTTAGACGACCGTGCAGACGCACTGCAGGCAGGTGCTTCTCAATTTGAAACAAGCGCAGCCAAGTTGAAGAGAAAATACTGGTGGAAGAATTGCAAGGTAATTTTATTTCCAGTCACCTTTACATTAAGTCCCCCTCTCCATTCTCAGAGAATCAACAGGCTACAGATAATGGCCTCTCGTGACTCTGGGAGATGGGTTTGACTTCCTACACATGGAACTATGGGTCCACTGGGAATCTGAAACACTGACTGCATACCCTTTCCTAGCCCCACACTAGGGCTCCTGTACATGCTGTGGCTGATCTTCAGAACATGCACGTAGAACAGGAATATCCAAAATCACTCATGGTCATCAGCCCTTCCCAATCCTCCACCCTAGCAGGGCCCCAGACACAGATAGGAGAGGGCTGGAATTGGTCAGTTTTTGTGTAGTTCTGTGATTGGTCCAAGGTCAAGGGAAAGAAATGCTTGAAAGCCACAGTGTGCTCAACAAAAGAGTAGAAAGCAGCCCTCCCAGGAGCGTGAGCCAAAGCAGATTTTATACAGTGAGTGAGTCAGTGCGCTGTGACCAGATTCAGATGTGTGCTGTCCTCTGCCTTGTTTACAAGTGACACTCTCAGACACCGGGCAAGCTGAGTAGCCAGCCCTTCCATATGTGGAAAACTCGTATATACACAAACAAATGCCTAGCTAGAGGCCACAGATCATTTGAACATCTTTTTTAAAAGCAGATAACTTACCTTCAGGCCCTAATCAAGAACATTTAATTTAGGCTTTAAAAATTATGAATTATTCCACACTGTATGCACCTGAATTTCCCTTTCAGTGACTAGACAAATATTATATGATGCTCTTCAACAAGCACGTTGTCTGTGTTTGAAATGTGATGTGGACATATGTTTTGTTACAGATGTGGGCAATAGGGATTACTGTTCTGGTTATCTTCATCGTCATCATCATCGGTGAGTTACCCTTTTCTAAAGTCATTGGAAAAGTCTTCTCCATGTATTCACAGACCGTTGATTTTGTGTACAAGAACTCAGACTAAAACTTCCCTCTGAAACGTTAGTTTTGGCTGGGTGTGGTGAGTCAGGCCTGTCATCCCAAAGCTTTGGGAGGCCAAGACAGGAGGATCACTTGAGGCCAGGAGTTTGAGTCTAGCCTGGACAACACAGCATCTCTACAAACAATTGTTAATAATTAACCAGGTACGGTAGTGCACACCTGTCAGTCCTAGCTACTCAGGAGGCTGAGGCAGGAGGATTGCTTGAGCCCAGGAATTCGAGGCTGCAGTGAGCCATGATCATGCCACTGCACTCTAGCCTAACAGAGTTTCTCAAAACAAAACAAAAAAAGGGTTCATTTATTCCAAGGTTTTCAGTTTTCTTTAATAAATGTTTTAAGTACTTGAGTTTTATATAAGCCTGAGATTTCTGATATAAACATTAATCCTTTGATGTTCGAGAAAATTTATTCATTTCCACTTCTTTTCTCTGAATATATTTTTAGCATCTATTTCCTTTTATGTAATGTAGTGATTAAAAACATGGACTACCTGTGATCCATCCTGGTTCCACCACCATCCAGCTGTATGGCCGTGGACAAGCAATTTAACATCTCTGGGTTTCAGTTTCTCCGTTTGTAAAATGGGGATAATAGTACCTGCCTTGTTTGTTTATTAGAGGACAAATTTGGTAAATACATAAAAAGTGTTTAGGTTGGTGCCTGGCATAAAATAATAAAAATAATAGCTGTATAAATAAAATATGTATGTATACACATACAAACACACACATACAACTATTGAAATAACTCATTGCTGTTGGTAGCCCAATATATGAGAACTGTTTAGAGAAATATGACTTCTTTCATTGATAGGTAGATATTTATAGGGCTGTAGGGCCCCACAGGGTCGTGGGGTGTCCCTTATGTTGTGCTGAGGTGCAGAACCTGAGAAGTAAAGTTATAGGACGCTGAAGAACCGGTGAAGAGCATCTGGCTCGGGGGGCCACGCAGCCTATGAGCGGAGATGAGTGAGAGCCCCAAATGCCCAGAAGCATCTGTATTTATTAGGTACAAGCAGGGGGCAGGGTTGGGAGTGAGGTCATCATCTATAGGCTTAGTAATAGGGCATACATAATCACGTGAGTCACAAGTGAGGGGGTCACCCCATTATGTCACTTGGGCAGAGTGGTGGGCCTTGCACAGTAGAGGGCCATGCCGTGTGCAGTAGTACAGGGTCATGTACAGAAAAGGGGTCCACCCCCATTAGGTCACCGAGGCAAGGAGGTGGGCTGTGTACAACAGGTGTCATGCACAACACTTCTTATCTGGGACCTGGAGACTTCAAAGGATTTCTAATAGAAGGATACTATAAGCCAATGCAGTGGGAGCTGACAGACTTGTGCTCTTAAGATATTTATGGGAGGGTGATTTGAGCTAGCACAGAAGTGAGAAAAGACTGACAGGGTGTACAGCTGCAGTGACTGGTCACACCAGAGGGGTTCTTCTCCCTCGGTTATTTCCAGGATCTCAGGCCTGAGGCCTATTTTCCACGGGAACTGGATGCAAGGTACTACAACTCCTTGCTCCAAGCCTGCTGTACAGCGTATACCCTTTCAGGCAGGGACGCCACCGCCTGGGTCTTTGGTTCTTGTCCTGGTCTGGCTATTTTCCCATGTACTGCTTCTGTTCTGTGACTGCTCTGGGCATTCCTCCTACTACAAACTACTATATGGTTATATGGAAGGATTCTGTAAATTAGCACTAAATGTGTTAGTACAGCTCCGACTACAATACCTATATGATTATGTAGAAAGATTATATGGAACTAAGTATGCTAGATATAAGTATTAAGTATGATTATATAAGCTAGATATACGTAAGCAGTAAGTTATACTTTAGGCATTAATTCTATAAACTAATATATGATTATATATAAAGGATTATATAAAGGAAATAGCTGAGTAATAACACTGAACTAAAATATTCTTCAGGTACTAATTGTGCCTGGGGTCTGGACAGTTCTCCCTCCTCAGTGCCCATGGGGGTGTTACCCACAGATGTTAGTGGATGTTTCATTTTAGCAGGAAGGTACAGTTATTTGGATCCTTCTGATTCTAGTCTCCTTCCTCTGGCCCTCTATAGAATGGAGAGAAGCCAGTAGTAGGAAATCAGCGCAGTCTAACTTCTGATCACATTTCGACTGCAGCATTGGATGTTCACTTGGGATTTGCACTGAGAGACTAACCTGCTGTTTCCCCTGCTTTTTTATGTCTCTCCTGCCTCTTAGTGTGGGTTGTCTCTTCATGAAGAAGCAGTGGAACTCTAACCTGCTGTTCAAGAAACCTCTTCAAGACTTTTGACTTAGAACCTACTATATTATCAAGCTTACCTACTGCTATCTCTAAAGTGATTATTTTGTGTTAATGTAAAGTTGAATTTTTAGGAAATGTGCCTTTGTTTTTTTTAATACTATGCACTCCAAATTAGAAGTAAGGCCGGCCCCGTCCACGTTTTGCACAGTGTCTTTACCGATTTACATATGGGCTGATGAAGAGGCCTTCTGAAGTTCCAGAGTGCTATCATCTAGATGTAATGTTGTCACCGATTAATTGCCATTGCTCCCAGTTACTTAGCCTTGTCATTCAGCATTATTTTTAGAACTACATTTTAAACCTTTGGGTAATCGATTTCCAACTTGTGCCTTCCAGAAAAAAACACTACTGCCTACCACAAATCTGTGATAACAACAGTCTGTGCCTTATTTTGATAAGTTTCTGATTCCCTGTAAGAGAACCCTCTACTTTTTGTAAGCACTACTGACTCTCGCTGTATTTAAGATAAGATGCTGGTGAAGAGCTTTTGCTCTTGCATTAGATTTGAAGATGTTTACGTTCTTGTTACTGTTATGTATCACTTGCTAAAAATATTGTTTTAATCAGAAATAACCTCTTTAAAAATTTTTATAGAACTATGGCTATGACCAAAGTTTCTATTTTACCAAAAAGTTAAATACCGATAAAATGGCCTTAAAAGTCTGTTCCTGACAGTTTAATTAAGAAATGTGCCAAATGGAACTTAAGGTGCCCCTTCAGAATTAAAATCGTAACCTTGTGTGTGAACCTTCCACATCTTGACAGGGTTTTCTTCCTTTTGAAATGCTGTAGACAGTGTGGCTCCCCTTCTGATTCAGTATTTTGCAGGGGGGGTTAGAGAAGGCTTGAGGTAGACTCTGACCATCTCATTCCTATAGACAAAAGAGTTTAACCCAGCAGTTGGCAGATTATCAGCTGTGGACTCCAACATGTTTCTAATAATTATACGACCAACAATTCTGTAGCCTTCAAGTAAGACCACCTGTGAACTTGATCATTACCTGGCCCAGATAGGACGATAAACTGTAGCTTTTTGGAGTTTCCTATTTTTATTCACATTCTGCTTCCTAAATCAGTCTTCTAAATGATGCTTGCAATTAGGCATTGGTCAGGGGTGGATGGCTCTTCACAGAGAGCAGCCAACCAGAGACCTTGTTTTGATATCAACAACTGCAGAGGATGCTGCTGTGGAAGGAACTGTTGTCATCAGAGAAACTTTGTCATCAGAGAGACTTTTCGTGTATGCATGAGACTTTCAACATCTGGATACACAGCTTAAAGATGGAATTCAAGTATGAAAGAAAACAGGCAAGGAGGCACTGAGGGAGAAGGACACAGACTTGAACGCTCTGTGGCTCGTTACTGGAATATTCTAAAATTATTGTTCACATGCTATTATGACTTACAAAGCAGGAATAGCTGAGGTGCACCAGGACACGGGTTTCACTTCTTTACTGTCTGTTCCCTTAACATCACTGAGTGATTTGTTGTTGAAGACAGCCTTGCAGTATGGCCAGCTGTGAGGACAAAGCAGCTGTTTGTGTTAGGACATAGCCCCCCGCCCCCCAAGCACAGGGTCTCTGGCCCCGTCTGACTCTGAAACCTTGGTGCTCACTCCTTGGCTACAGTGCTCAGTCCCATGTAACCCACTGGCTCCTGCATTAACCCAGAAATACCTCGCTTGTATCTGTGCACTTAGCTGGGAACTTACCCACTGTCATGACCTGAATAAAGTGTTTATAAACATGGTTGTGGCACCTGTGTTCCTTATGGAGGAATAGCTGCGCCTGGTCCAGATCCTAAAAGTGGCATTCCTTGCTGCTCTCCATACCTGTCCCTTACAAACCCTGAAACTGTCTCTCCTCTTTTCCCACCAGCCCCTCTATAGGTACTCTACCCTCCAGCACCCAGCATTTCCCCATGCCCGAGCGAACAGAAGCAAACCACTCCCCTCGTGAAAAGTGCTTTCTAGTGTAGGAGATGTGGGGAAAACTGGCTTTTATACAATTACCAAAATACAGGATTTGGCTTTGGAGAGCTGGCCCTGGATGTGGTGGTAGACTGGATGGCTGCTGACACGGCCACGGGAGAGAGAAGTCTGGACGGACGACGGACATCCCCAGATACATGTTTTCATTCTGTAGACTCTTCTTTCCCCATGAATGTATTTCCATTCTTATTCTACAACCCCCAGGAAACAATATCGTATGGGTGGAAGTAGACTTTTGCTTATGTTTACAATAGAAAAGTCCCAAGTCCCTTTCCCTAATTACAAGTCCCACTATGATCTGGCCCTTTAGCTTTCTGACCTCATCCCATACGACTCTCCTGCTCTCTCTCCTCCAAGTAAGGTACTCTTTTTTTGGGTGGGAGACCCTGCAAATGCTGAGGCAAGGGTCTGAAGCCTCAGCCTGTTCCCATATAAATAATGAAATAGAAAAGAATTAGAAATACAATCACACAGTCATTCATAAGCAATCATAGATAAAGATACCTAGATATATATATACCAAGTATGACCTTTTAATTTTGCTAATGTTTCTCGGGTTGTGAAGTGCGAATAAGGTGACATTGTGAAAGAAGTCACCCTAAGGCAAGATGCTCTCTGTCACGTCAGTCTAAGGGCTGATGGAGGGCATCTTGGCTATGCTGCAGCGCCAGCGCTGGGAAAGCGCCCGCTGATTAGCAAGCTACGGAAGATGTCTGAGATGTCTCCTTCCTTGGAGGAGTTAGGCGAAAACTTCACTCCCACAGGCGCCTGTGGCAGGCCTGACGGCTGTCAGGGACACATGCCAACATCCAGGGGCTTAATTATTTTCTCTGTGTGATGCTGTGCTTCGGCAGTCACGTTCCATGTCTACTTTTGTGTTCCGCTTCTTCACCTGGTTCCTTTTTTAGGAGATAGAATCAGTAAAAGTAACATAAATCTTAATGTCTGTGTTCCTTCTTGACAACTATGGAAAAAGTGCTGACGCATTTTTCCCTTGCCCTTGCTTCTTCCCTTGCCCGGGCTACTTGAAAGTGTCTCTAAGACACGTGATTTATTTGACCCTATCACTGACCACCAATGACTTGCCCTACCTACCCTGCCCGCTGCTTTATACTCAATAAAAGTCAGCATGTCCAAGCACTCGAGGCCACTGCTGGACTCCACGCTTTGGTTGGCAGTGAACCCCTGGGCCCAAACTCTCTTTGTCTTGATCTCGGCGTCTTGTGTCTTTATTTCCAGTAGAGAGGGGTTCTACTGTAGGGCTGGACCCTACGCTCTGCCAAAGTATAGCTGTTGACAGTGGAGAGGTGTGTGCATGGGACTTTCAATGTCAGGGTGTGGCTTGCAGGCCAGAGTTAAGCCATGAATGAAAACAGGCAAGGAAGCACTGAAGGAGAAACAGACCCGAATAAAGCTTGTTTCAGTTTCTCAACAGCAAACTTACTTCTTTCCAAAGGTCCTTTGCAGGTACTTTCCACTCTGCAGGGCCCACTTCCCCATCCATCATGGCAGGTGCTGCTCATCTTGGGTTTAACTCCGCCTTCCCAGAGGCCTACCCGGCTGATCTGAGGCGGCTATGGCCGCCTTCCTTCACCTCTGTCCCAGTTACTCTTCATCCCAGTAGCTTGTTTTCTACACATCGCTTTAGGCTTTATGAACTTATTTATGGGATTGCTTGTATGTGTTTCTCAATAAAATGTTGACTCCCTGGGTGGCAGGGAGTGGTGGTGGTCTACTGTTCTAGCCCCTGGGATTCCAAGTGTCACTACCCAGATTTGCACGCAATAAATACTTGCTGAAGGAATGCAGTTTGACAAAACTCAGCTTCCGAGGACAGCAAGCCAACCCAGACTATCGCTTGTAAGAATAAGGTGGTTTATTCAGTACCTAACATAAGCACTTACCCACTTCACTTTTCCCCTCTTCCTTTACATACAATTTCATTCATCCAACAAATACTGAATATTTTTTCTGTACCAGGCAGCAAAGAGAGGGGCGGCACTCAGCACTATACCTTTCATTTCTAAGGTGTTGAGAGAGACAATCTAAACTGAGCTTTCTGACTTTTTTTTTTTTAAGGGCACTACACCTTCCTCCTCTGAAACAGTGGCTTTTACATTTGTCTTCCCATAGTTGCCAAATGAATCTGTAATTTTAGGAATTCCAGGGAAGTGTTTTAATTTTCACCGTCAAAATTCTGTTTCTGGGCGGGTGCAGTGGCTCACACCAGTAATCCCAACACTTCGGGAGACCGAGGCCAGCAGAACACTGGAGCTCAGGAGTTTGAGACCAGCCTGGCCAACATAGACCATTTTTACCAAAAACATAACAATTAGCCAGATGCGGTGGCTGCGCCTGCAGTTCAGCTACTCGGGAGGCTGAAGCAGGAGAACGCCTGGAGTCCAGAAGACAGGTTGCAGTGAGCCGAGATGGCGCCACTGCACTCCACCCTAGGCGACAGACCAAGACCCTGTCTCAAAAAAAAAAAGTTTCTAAATATCGGATGGGTTTTTTGCCAGGGTTGCTATACGGCCCGGTTCCTCCAAGTCCACCCCACTCACCTCAAGAGTTAGCAGAGAATGAGGGCGGCTGGGGTGGGTTGGGTAGGTCAGAGGCGGTGAAAACCGTGGAAAGCCTAGAAGACACCCAAAGCACGTTGAGAGGTACGCTGTCTGCAGCCGGCCCCACCCAGGGCTCCTCCCCACACCCGCTCAGGCAGCCCGGAGCCAACCGCGGACTCCAGGACCCAACCCCACCCAGAGAGCTGGCCCGGGCCGCCCCGGCACGCCCCCAGTCCCCGCCACGGCCCCAGTCCGTGGACTCCAGAACCCAACCCCACCCAGAGAGCTGGCCCGGGCCGCCCCAGGTAGCCCCGGCACGCCCCCAGTCCCCGCCACGCCCCCAGTCCGTGGACTCCAGAACCCACCCCCACCCCCCCCCCCCCCCCCCCCCCCCCCCCGCTCCAAGCCAGGTCCCGCCACCGCGTGGCTGGCAGCTCCCTGACCCTATCATTTCTGCTCTGGCTTCAGCGGCTCCGCCCCGGCGGCGTGGCATAGGGGCCGGACACTCCAGTCGCGCGGGTTGGGCCTGAGGCCGCTCAGGGCCACCCCGCCTCCTGCCCGCGTACCGCCTGCCGGATTGGCCGAGCGCCGGCCTCCGCCAGACCTCGAGCGTTATGTAACGCGCCCCAGAGGACCCCGCCCCCTCGCCCTGGCTTATATAACCCGGGCGCACCGGGTCGCGCCCCGCCCCAGGGCCAATGGGGGCCCACGGAACCGGCCCCGACAGCCAATCGCGCGGCTCGGGGGCGGGGCCAGTCACGCGGCGGCAGGGGACGCGGCGCCGGCTGCTTCCCGGCACGCGGCGGGCCTCGAGACTGCACGCGCGGGCGGCCGGCGTCGGGGGGGCGAGCGGCTTGCGCGTGGGGCAGCGGGCGAGCGAAGCCGGTGAGTGCGCGGTCGGGCGGGAGTTCTCGGGACCCGAGCGCGGCCCAGGAGCCCCGAGAGCCCGGCCCTCGGCTCTGGGGTCCCCGGAGCGTTGCGCTTCCGAGCCGCCCGCCTCTCCGGGCCCGCCTATCGGCTCGCGGGAAAGTTGGGGCAGGGGTGAGGACCGCGCGGTTGGAGCGCCCCAGCCAGCCGGGCCGCTGGCGTGGGACCGTCAGTTCCACTTGGCCCTTGTCACCCTTGTCTCCTCCCCCCAGGCCGGACTTCCGAAAGTGGAGTGAGCTCCGGGTTTTGGAGATGCTGGAGGGAGAAGCTCCTCCGAGATGAGCGTGGCCCCCTGGCTCGTGGTAGCCGCCCGGTTTCTCTAACGCCATGGCGCGGACTGGAGTGAGAAACCGCTGTCTGTCGCTGGCTGCAAAGTGAGCGGGAAGCAGGCAGCGGGCCGTCCCAGGACGACATGGAGCCCTGCGGAGACCTCGAGACGCCCCTCGGGGAACCTCCTGGCCCCGGGGGACGGGCAGCTGAGGACGAGGCCCTGGGCGAAGACTTTGGGGAGCGGTGGAGCCCTGAGTTCCATCTGCAGAGAAAATTGGCGGACCCCAGCCACAGGTGACGCGCTGGCTTCAGGCTCAGGGCCCCATGCGTTAGTTGTCCTTTCCCAGAGCGGGGAAAGGGGGACGTAAATCTTTTTATTCTTTTAAGCCCCGGGGAAAGTGTAGGGGGAGACTCAGGCACAGTAGGATGAAGTGATCTGGGACACTGAAGAAAATTACCAAAGAGCACCAGGAGGGAAAAGTGGTTACAGAAGTTAGCTGACTTGGGGCTCAAGTGGATTAAGGGAAAGTAAGTGGAGACTGTGTGGTATTTACCAGTTGTTTGCCTGACTTCCCTATCTGGAGGAAAAGGGGCATCACCCTGTGGACTGAATGAACTGGTGCGGTAGACCACTTAGAAACTTACCTGGGTTGCAGTTTGTGTTCCATAAACTGCAAGATGCTGTTATCATCACAGGTGTGAAATTGTCAGTTTTTTTTTTTTTTTTTTAATCTTCCAGTGAACAGCAAGATCGAAACAGAGTTTCGGAAGAACTTATCATGGTTGTCCAAGAAATGAAAAAATACTTCCCCTCTGAGAGACGCAATAAACCAAGCACTCTAGATGCCCTCAACTATGCCCTCCGCTGTGTCCACAGCGTGCAAGGTAAACAGGCGAGAAAAATTCAGTTCTACAAGTGCACTGGGACTCTCACAGCAGCCAGAGGAGTGGTCAGTGGGCTCTTAGTCATGCAGATACTTTGAACTTTTTCTGGTGCTTTATGGAAAATGAGCAGATCTACACCGATTGCATTCATGTCTTAATTTTTCACATCTGAAAGACCAGGAAAACTTTATCTGTATAATAGTTTATAGTAACTTTGCAGCGTTTTGCCGATCTGTTGCAAGAGAGTAGAGTTTTAGCATAAGCACATTCTGAAGGCTAACCTTTTAAAGGAACATTGTCTTTTATGGAAGTTACGGGGGAAAAAAATGCATTCCACTAAATAGTTACCTTTGCATACCATACACATATTTTTTAAATGCAGTAATGATATATGAGGAATTTACCAAACTAAAAATGAACCATTGTAAAGACTTTTCTTTTTCTGCCTGACATTTCAAGGGATTCCATTAAAGCCATATTCTCTTTAGCACAAACCTCTGTGCTTCATATATGATATGTTCCTGAATGATGGAGTACTGTTTCTGCTCCCCCCGAAAAAATTGCATATGCATCTGAAATTTTTAGTTAGTACCTTGAATGTTTCTTGCTCCTTGTGATCCAGAACATGCAGAATTCATAAAATCAAAATCTTAAGTTTGCACAACCATCAGTATGTATTTTAAGTAAAAGCAGAAAATGCTCTGTTTTCGAGAAAAATGCACCAAGGTGTTCTCATCTGAAAAAAAAATCCAGCTTGATAGAAATAAAATGGTTTCCTAAAGATACTGTTGTCACTGGACTACCTGTTTATCTCCCTGTGTTTCTTAGCAAACAGTGAGTTTTTCCAGATTCTCAGTCAAAATGGAGCACCTCAGGCAGATGTGACCATGTACAGTCTTGAGGAGCTGACCACTATTGCTTCAGAACACACTTCCAAAAACACAGTAAGAATTCATGCGTTTTGCCATATCAACCTGGGTGATTTTTCCTAACGACCTGCTCTAGATGTCAGTTTTTAAGGAGAGTAACAACGTTTCAGCAACCACAATTTGAGGGAAGCAAAGGAGGAACTGCCAAAGAGGCATGGTGTAGCTTCTCTACCCTTGCCAGAGAAAACATCTAAAAACAGAAGCAGCCCATTAAGTGTGCTGTGCAGTTCAGTGACTTTGGTTATGAGGTGCTTCTAGCTCCTTAGCATTCCCAGGCTCTCTCAAATTAAGAGAAAAACAAAAAAATACACTGCAGAGTAATTTCCTGCATCTTATTCTAATCTCCGAATTGTTAATTTCTATTTATATCATTCTTAGTTCCAATACCTACTACTTCAAGTTGTAACAACTGGAAGTTATAGAACAGGTGAGTTGAGATACTGTCATTTTTCATAAAATTTTGGAAGAGACCTTTAGTATATATATACACATATATTTTATCTCTCTTCTTGTTTGACAGAGTAATTGAGCCTCATGTTTGGTTGATACGGTGGAGGTTGCTTATTTTTATGTACAGACATCAACATAATTGTAACTTAAAGATTTTATAATAGTGGAACATGAGCCATCCCTACTATTATAACAGTGCTTATGTTAAGGACTGGTGTGTGCATAGTACTGTAGTAGGTACTATGGAGATTTTAAAAAACAGCTTAAGAAAGTATTTGTCTTTTAAGATCTTTAACATAAAGCTAGAGAGGAAAGCATGCCAGTGCTAGCAAACACAAACAATGGCTGATTATAAGTAAGTTTCATTTACATCTAATGGAAGAAATTAGAGCAGAGATGCTTACATAATGAGGTTTGTCAAGGACAGCTTCCTGAAGAAGGTGAATCTTCAGCATGTCTTAAAGCATGGAATCTGTACTGATGATGAGAACACCATCCACCCAGGTGTAAGGCACAGTTTGCAGAGGAGAAGGAATCAAGTTTATGTGCCATAGGTATATTTAGTCTGCATAGAATTAGTTAATATATTTTTTGGCATAGAAATTGAACCTTCAGCAGGTGAGGTGTAGGTTTTATGAGAATATTTAAGAAGGATGTTGGAGAAAAGTATTTGAGGAGTTTTGTTGCCTTCATAGGTTGTACCTGTGTAGTTTAAGATATTGATCATGGTAGAGATCTAGAAGAAATTTACCTTACAGGGACTATTGCTATGAGTATCTCAATATTTGCATTTATTTTAAATGTTTTTCATAGGATACCTTTGTGGCAGTATTTTCCTTTCTGTCTGGAAGGTTAGTGCACGTTTCTGAACAGGCTGCTTTAATCCTGAATCGTAAGAAAGACGTCCTGGCAACTTCTCGCTTTGTCGACCTGCTTGCCCCTCAAGATGTGAGGGTGTTCTATGCACACACTGCCAGAGCTCAGCTTCCCTTCTGGAACGACTGGACCCAAAGAGGTAACAGGACCAATGTTCAGATGTTCATCTTGCCTCATCCAGATCAGTTTCGTTCTTAACAGGAATAGTACAGAAACTAATGCATTATTTAGAGCATGCAAACTGTTTTTTCTTATTCTTGTTGTAGAAAGTCTTCAGGTGATGAAAACAGCATTTTAAAAGCTTCTGGTAACATAAAGACAATACATTTGTTTCCATTTTGTCACGTCTGTTTCATAGATTATATGTCTTAACTATTTCACTACCAGCATACCATATAGTGCTTTAGTTGCTATGAAGGCTGTTTCCTTTAAGTTAAAATTAAATGTTTTTCCTCCTATATTTCTTTATGATTTCCTCGTATGAGAGATTTTACTTTGGCTGGGCGTGGTGGCTCACACCTGTAATCCTAGCACTTTGGTAGGCCGAGGCAGGAGGATCACCTGAGGTCAGGAATTCCAGATCAGCCTGGCCATGGTGAAACCCATCTCTACTAAAAAGTACAAAAATTCTGGGCATGGTAGCACATGCCTGTAATCCCAGCCACTGGGGAAGCTGAGACACAAGAATTGCTTGAACCTGGGAGGGAGAGGTTGCATTGAGCCAAGATCACACCATTGCACTCCAGCCTGGGCAACAAGAGTGAAACTCTGTTTAAAAAAAAAAAAAATTAGGATCAGTAGCTCTCTTCCAGTTTTTATTGCCCCTAAAAGTTCATTAGTATCATTATTTTGTTTTCCTTCTGGGATGCTTTTTTACCTAAATCAAAGATGCCTATTGTAGTTTTCTTTGTGACATTCAGTCCTGTGTGATCTTAATTTATTTCTTTTTAGTCATGCTTTATTATTTTGTATTCTTTGTAAAGTATCTCCTAAAGATAGATAGATAGATAGATAGATAGATAGATAGATAGATAGATAGATGGATATCAGCTTTCTCTTTAATTCCAAGCCCTTCTCTCTAACTAAAAAATAATTTATTGTGGTAAAAAACACATACAATTTACCATCTGATAGAGTTTGACTATGTCCCCACCCAAATCTCATGTTGAATTGGAACTCCCACCATTCCCATGTGTCATGGGAGGAACCCCGTGGGAGGTAATTGAATCATGGGAGCAAGTCTTTCCCATGCTGTTCTCGTGACAGTGGATAAGTCTCAAAAGATCTGATGACTTTAAAAACGAGAGTTTCCCTGCACAAGCTGTCTCTCTTTGCCTGCTGCCATCCATGTAAGATGTGACTAGCCCCACATTGCCTTCTGCCATGATTGTGAGGCCTCCCCAGCCACACGGAACTGTAAGTCCATTAAACCTCTTTCTTTTATAAATTGCCCTGTCTGGGATATGTCTTTATCAGCAGCATGGAAACGGACCTAATACACCATCTTAATCATTTTTAGGCTTCACTCCATTGCTGTGAATGATGGTTACAATGTTGTAAAACAGATCTCCAAAACTTTTTCATCTTGATATATGAAACTCTCTGTATATACTATTTCTAATTTTTTACCCAGTACTTAATATAATGAAGAATAGCTTTGCATGCTTCTTCCAATTATAATTGCCCCATCTTTTAAAAATATTTTTACATAAGCTTGAGAAAACATGCATGTCCTCCCTGCTTGCTTCTAGCTCCTCATCTCTCCTGTTCCCATCTTTCAAAAATATTGATTTTATTTCTCTTCCCCTTTCCTAAATACATATGCTGGGATACAACTGTGAACAGGACATCCACAATATTGTCTGCCAGGTCTTTCGCATTTTTTCCCCAGGTATTTGTCCATTAGCACTGACTGTCTTTTCAGACTTTTCATTTTTGCTAATTACTTGTTTCTGGGATATTTCCCTTTTGTATTAGTCTGTTCTCACACTGCTGTAAAGAACCACCTGAGACTGGGTAATTCATAAAGGAAAGAGGTTTAATTGATTCACAGTTCCACATGGCTGGGAAGGCCTTAGGAGATTTACAATCATGACAGAAGGGAAAGCAAACATGTCCTTCCACACATGGTGTCAGGAAGGAGAAGAATGGGAGCCAAGTGAAGGGGAAGCCCCTTATAAAGCCATCAGCTCTCATGAGAACTTACTATCATGAAAATAGCATGGAGGAAGCTGCCTCCATGATTCAGTTACCTCCCACCGGGCTCCTCCTACCATGCATGGGGATTATGGGAGCTACAACTGAAGATGAGATTTGGGTCGGGACACAGCCAAACCATATCATTCTGCTCCTGGCCCCTTCCACATCTCATGTCCTCACGTTTCAAAACAGGACCATTCCTTTCCAACAGTCCCCCAGAGTCTTAGCTCATTCCAGCATTAGCCCAAAAGTCCAAATCCAAAGTCTCATCTGTGACAAGGCAAGTCCCCTTTACCTATAAACCTGTAAAATCCAAAGCAAATTAGTTACTTCCTAGATACAATGGAGGTACGGGCATTAATAAAACCCATTCCAAATGGGAGAAATTGTCCAAAACAAAGGGGCTAAAGGTCCTATGCAAACCTGAAATCCACTGAGACAATAATTAAATCTTAAGGCTCCAGAATAATCTCCTTTGATTCCATGTCTCACATCCAGGTAATGCTGGTACAAGAAGTGGACTCCGACAGCCTTGGCAGTTCTGCCCCTGTGGCTTTGCAGGGTACAGCCCCCCTTATGGGTGGTTTCATGAGCTGGCATTGTCTGGCTTTTCCAGGCGCACAGTGCAAGCTGTCAGTGGATCTACCATTCTTGGGTCTGGAGAATGATGGCCCTCTTCTCACAGCTCCACTGGGCACTACCCCAGTGGAGACTGTGGGGACTCCAACCCCAGATTTCTATTACACATGCCCAAGCAGTGGCACTCTATGAGGGCTCTGCCCCATAGCAAACTTCTGCCTGGACATCCAAGAATTTCCTTATATCCTCTGAAATCTAGGCAGAGGTTTCCAAACCTCAATTCTGGTCTTCGGCGTACCTGCAGGACCAACACCATGTGGAAGCTGCCAAGGAATAGGGCTTGCATCCTCTGAAGCTATGGCCTGAGCTGTACCTTGGCCCATTTTAGCCATGGTTGGAGCTGAAGCAGCTGGAATACAGGGGACCATGTCCCAAGGCTGCACAGAGCAGTGGGGCCCTGGACCAGGCCCAGAAAACCTTTTTTCCCTCCTAGGCCTCAGCCTGCGATGGAGGGGCTGCTGTGAAGTCTCTGGCATGCCTTGGTGACATTTTCCCCATTGTCTTGGTGATTAACATTTGGCTGCTTGTTACTTTTATAAATTTCTGCAGCAGGCATGAATTTCTCCCCAGAAAATGGGTTTTTCTTTTCTGTTGCATCTTCAGGCTACAATTTTTCCAAATCCTTATTCTCCGCTTCCTCTTGAATGCTTTGCTGTTTAGAAATTTCTTCCGCCAGATACCCTAAATCCTCTCTCTCAAGTTCAAAGTTCCACAGATCTCTAGGGCAGGGGCAGAATGCCGCCAGTCTTTTTGCATAGCAAAAGTCACCTCTACTCCAGTCCCAACAGGTTCCTTATCTCCATCTCAGACCATCACAGCCTGGATGTCATTGTCCATGTCTGTATCAGCATTTTGGTCAAAGCCATTCAATAAGTCTCTAGGAAGTTCAAGATTTTCCCACATTTTCCTATTTACTTCTGAGCCCTCCAAACTGTTCCAGCCTCTGCCTATTAGCCAGTTCCAAAGTCACTTCTACATTTTCAAGTATCCTTGTAGCAGCACCCCACTCTTTGCAGTACAGGTTTATTGTATTAGTCCATTCTCATGCTGCTAATAAAGACATACCCAAGACTGGGTAGTTTATCAAGGAAAGAGGTTTAATTAACTCACAGTTAAGCATGGCTCGGGAGGCCTCAGGATACTTAGAATTGTAGCAAAATGGGAAGCAAACATGTCCTTCATACGGTGGCAGCAGGAGAAGTGCCAAGTAATAAAACCATCGGATCTCATGAGAACTCACTATCACCAGAACAGGAAGAGGGAAACCACCCCCATCATTCAGTTACCTCTCACTAGGTCCCTCCCTTGACACGTGGGGATTGTGGGAACTACAATTCAAGATGAGATTTGGGTAGGGATACAGCCTCACCATATCACCTTTTATGTAAAATCTTAATATGCCCTGAAATTATTCTTTTGGATCTCAAAATTCACTTATGCCATAAAGGTGTGATGTGAATCTAGTTTACTCTTTATATTGTACTTTTGCCTTGTAAATCTCAATAATTGAAACCCTTCTTGAGAGCAGTTGGTTAACTCTGCCCCCTTTCTAGGCTGTGCCTGTGTTACCTCCTCTGATCCCTTACTTTGAACACACAGAACATTAAGAGGACTTAGGAAGCTATCCACTCAGCTCTTGTCAGCCTCTGGTCCTGTATTAGAGTATGTTTTTGTTTAACATGTCTTGTACAAACCTCTTAGAAGGATTTGACCATTACTACTTCAGGGCATGCTTTCAGAAAAAAGCATCACATATTTACAGCCTAGGAATGAAGATGCATCTGGGCTCATGTCCGTTGTCTTAGCTCACGTAGTCTGGCTTTCAATGGTCCAGGACTTCTAGTGACTGCAGTTGGAGTTCAGGTGCCTGGTATGATGGATAAGTGGTGTAAGCAAACTGATCTCACAGTAAAGGCTGTTTTCTGTAGAAGATTATACCAATCTTCAGTGCTTTATTAATGCTTTCTGACTCTTCCTGTGATCGTCTCCTTAGAAGTATCAAGACCTGGGCTGCTTCAGTATTTCAGTTCTTTTGGATTCTCACTGTTTATGCAAGCTTCAGTGTATATTTTTTAAACATCTCACAGTTTTCCATGGTTCCTATAACTAGAGACTATTTGTTTCAGTGAACAAATGCCCAAAAGATATTCAGGAAACTCGGGAAATACATATACTTAACAAACACTGGGCAGAAATTTCAGCCCCCTCATCTTCCGCTAAGATAGGCAAATTTAGGCATTTCTGAATTACTACCTCATACATCAATAAAATTGATGCAAAAATTAACATAATTGATAGCAAGTCTGGCATGAGGGTTGTGAGAAAACATTAATAAATGTGAATATTAGTACACTTTTCTGGAGGTTAGTTTATCAGTACACAATGAAAGTTATAAATTGATTCTATCATTTAACCTAGGAACACAACTTTTTGAAATTTATCCAAGGAAAGAAGAAGGAAAGAAAATTATATGTCATATAGCTAAAAAACTGAAAACAGTCCAAATCCCCAGTTTTTTAGAAATGTCCAGACTATTGCAATGGAATGGAGTATTACCACCAGAATTATTGTGTCTAAGTATAATGACATTGACCTTTGAGATAATGAGCATAGGCATTTTGGGAACTATGGGAATTAATGAGGGAATGATATAAATGTGATTCTCACTGTTACACCTGAGGCTCACGGTTTTCAGGATTGGGAAACACTAGTATGTCTTTGGTATGAAAGACAAATTGGGAAATACTAGTATTGTTTTTGGTATTAGAGGGAGATCCCCTTGATTAAAATAGAACTGTCTTCTTGCATTTTGAGATCCAGTCATATTCTAGTATTTCCCAATAGTATTTTAATCAATGGGACCTCTCTCTCTTTTTAAAAAAATAATTTTTTGTTTGGTAATGGTGAAACATTGTTTCACTGAGAAAGACCTGCCTAAGAGGGAGTGATTGACCAGGCATCTTCTTTCTGGCTGGCTGTCTGTCTGTCTTTCTAGCAGCTCCACGGTATGAATGTGCTCCGGTGAAACCCTTTTTCTGCAGGATTCGGTAAGTACAGTGGCTCGTAGAAGCCAAAAATAGCGGATTATGCTCTGATTTTATTTTGCACTTATTTTGATTCTTGTATATTCAGTTCACTTCTGTTGCGAGATACAAAAAATAAGATTTGGTTCTTACCACAAGGAGTTTGTATTTTGATTGAGAAGAAACATATTCATGAGAAAACTAGATAATATTGCAATAAGAAAAAGGTCCAGAAAAATAATTCTTAACTCTAGGAGCATATAAGAGTCACTAGATGTGAAGTACAGCTTAAAATCACCATTGTTGTGAGCTTTTTTGTTTGCATTTTGTTTTTCAGTCACATTTAAAATTAGTTTTTGAAATTTTTAGTAGCTTTAAAGAAAGCAAGAGATTTATATTTGTGAGAAAGATTTAAAAGATCTAGAGACAGTGAACCAGAAGGAAATAGATGAAAATGTTAACAGTACTTAATTGCTGATAGGATTTACTACTGAATTTTTTATCTTCTCAATTTGCTGCAATATATTATTAGTGTTCCTTATGTGGTATACATTGTATTGTATGTATAATATATATTTTGTGTTATATGTATTATGTATATAACATGACTTTCATAATAAGAATATTTTAAGATGATGTTGTGATTGCCCGTTTTAATATTGAAGTTACTAAATGCTCTAGATGTTTAGAGAGAAGAAAAAAATCCCATGAAATAGTCTGATAATCCAATATTCCATGGAATTTGGGGACTTGAGCTCATAGGATCTGGATGCTTGGGAGGGACAGCCTGAGGAAGGGCCTGGCAGTGGGAGGGCTCTGTTCATTTGCAAGTAAGTGGTATGAAGATATCAGAACAGCTCCTGCCTCTTAGTAAGTACTATATGTGTTTCTGATGTTAATAAATATTTTGGGGTGCTTTCTTTGAGCCAGACACTGCTGGGATCCAAGCAGAGTTCTTGCCTTATATACCTTAAATTCAGTGAGAAGGAGACCAATAATAAACACATATTCAGATGCCTGTGTGTTGGCTAGTGATAAGTTATGTGTAGACAGTAAAGCAAAGAGCAGGAGTTCTGGGAAGTGGAAGCTTGCTGTTGTATTCAGGGTTATCCGGGAGCTCAGGAAGCCTAATTGGAAACAGCAGCCAGAGGGAGGGCAGGCGGTGAGCCACACCAGTATCTGAGGGTGGCAAGTGTCGCTGAGCAAGTGTGTTCCAGGCATAGGGAGCAGCAGGTGCAGAGGCTCTGGGGTGGGGCATGCCTGGCCTGTGGGAGGAATGACAGAGCTGCTGTGGCTGGAGTGGAGGAAGGAGCGAGGATGGAAGAAGATGGGGAAGCAGGGGCCATGCCACGGGGAGCTGGGACTTCTGCATGAAATGTTTTATTTAAGTTTATCACTTATTTTTAAGACTTTTTACTTTGGGAATTTTCAAACATAGCACAAAAGAAGATAGTTTAATGAACCGATATGGTCTCATCACCCAGCTTTTTAATAACTTGAACCCATGGCCACTCTGGCGTCATCTCTGCCAGCAGCAGTTCCTTAACTCCCTCTTCCCAAGTTACTGGGTAGCGCAGCTCAGATCTTATCTGATTTCCTCCATCAGGATTTCAGAATGTCATTCTAAGAGAGAAAGTTCTCATTAATGTTTTTGAGGCTCAAAATGGTCCCTTCTTTGGCCAGTAGGAATCCCTTTGGGTTGGCCCTTGTACCTGTGTGAGAGTGCCCTGTGGTCTTTGACAGCTTCTATTGTTTTAAGCATGAGACACCCCAGACTCGTTTTAGACATTTCTTAACCCAGGCTTGGAGTCAGTCATTTCTCTAAAGATCCCTGGTTCCATGTGGGAAATGGCATTCATATTTGGAGGCCAAATCTATGTGGTAGGGATGGTTATTGCTACAGGGTTGTCATTGCTTCTAGGAATTTTCAGTGAACAGAGGTAGGAAACATTCATTTCAGTTTCCCTTTTTTTCTTTTTTAAGACAGAGAAGGAAGGTCAAATAATGTGTGAATATAAAACACTACATTAATATTTTGTTTTGGCGAGGCACAGTGGCTCACTCCTGTAATCCCAGCACTTTGGGAGGCCAGGGTAGGCGGATCACCTGAGGTCAGGAGTTCGAGACCAGCCTGGCCGACATGGCGAAACCCTGTCTCTACTAAAAATACAAAAATCAGCTGAGTGTGATGGCGCACACCTTTAATCCCAGCTACTTGGGAGGCTGAGGCAGGAGCATCGGCGAGGCACAGATTGCAGTGAGCTGAGATTGTGCTGTTGCACTCCAGCTTGGGCAACAGAGTAACACTGGTTTTGTTTTTTTTTTTTTTTTTTTTTTAAAGAGTGAGGTGGAGTGGGAATGAACTGGATAATCTCTGGCAGTAAAGACTCCCTTAGGATTGGTGGTCACGCCTTTATGTGCTGGCCAGAGAGTAGATGTGTGATTGGTAAAAGTGGGTGAGTGTGAATTCAATCTTGGGCTTTCTGATTTTAGGTGAAGTGGCATCTCCCAGCAGAAGCATCTGCTGGGCAGCTGCAGTGATAACACAGGGTGACGATCTTTGAAGCCGTCAATCAGACCCCCTACTGAGAGGTTCTTGGTGAGGAGTGGAAAGGGCATGCCCTCTGTGCCAGGGCAGGGCTTGCTGAGCTCGGTTTTAGCCTCAGCTTTTTCTTTCCTCCTCAGCCGGATGCCTGTATGGACGGAGCACCTGACCACATGTGAGGGTCGGTGATGAGGGCATCACTGAAGCTGGAGACGAAATTGGTTTTTAGAGAGTATAGAAAGGGATGACAGAACTGGCTCCGGGACTTGATTGCAGGGGACCCCGTTTTCTCTCTTGTGACAGCTGATATAGATGTGTGAGATGAGACAGATGAGACATCTATGCCTGTCTCTCTTCACAGCAGAAGGGGAAAAGTCAGACTGGGAATTCAGTGCATGGGGGTCAGGAGAAAAGTCATGGAAACACTAGATCTGTTTTTACACTCACAGTAACCTAAGCTAACTCTTTACACAACCTCTTCCTTGTTGAATAATATCGAAAACTTAAGCTAACATATTCTTTCTTTTGAAAACAAACACGTTTAAACATTTTTAATGTGGGTATGTCTCTCTTGGAAATTACCAATAAAACATTTCTCCCAGCCTTGTTTCACAGTGGGCCTGGAGGGTGCATCAGGACCAGCACTAATATCTTTAATCTCCTCAGTGGAGGTGAAGACAGAGAGCAAGAGAAGCGTCCCTCCCCATTCCGGATCATCCCTTATCTGATTCATGTCCATCACCCTGCCCAGCCAGAATTGGAATCGGAGCCTTGCTGTCTCACTGTGGTTGAAAAGATTCACTCTGGTTACGAAGGTAAGTCAGTAGATAAGATGCAGAAACGTCAGCCATCAGATAGGAACATGGGAAAGTCTGTTTATGTCAGTCACAGAACAAAAAAAGAGTGCTTGGGTCTCCAGTTTGACCCTTAAACTCTTGAGGGGTTTGAAGCTGTTTTTCACCAATGTCTGTTTACTGACCTTGGCTGCCTGTGCAGTCATTGCCTTTGTGGTCTGCGTGGCTGAACGAATGGTCGCAGCAGATGCAATCTTCTAGTCCTCTCTGCTGGTGACCCATTCAGTGTGGCCTTCTGCTTGTCTTATGTGAAAGAAGAGTGCTGAAATTGTTTCCCAGAGAGGCCACAAGAGTGATTTTATGTTTTTGAAGTGTGAAACTCCCTGAGTAAAATGTATATTATATCTTTCACGAGCAGAACTATATTTCTAGTGCATATATTAATACATAGGCAGCTTCCATGTATTACTTAAAGTCAGTTTGGATGTAATACGACATATTCTCTCCTACAAATCACCATCCTGTGCAACGGTCACACAATAAAAACCACAGGACTTATGGGGAAAAGGGGTTTAGGAGCACAAAACTCAAAAACTTAGTTGCACATTAAAAATAAGACAGGAATCAAATAAAAATGATAACATGGTTTCACACGTGTTAAATGGTTAGGAAATATACAAACACTACAGTAAATACGGCTCATACCACGGGATGAACTGAGGTAGCAGGTAGATGTTTGAGGTGGATGTGTATGTTTTTGCATATTCTTTTTCTGTTATTGTTTTGCTTTGTTTTGAGACGGGTTTGCTCTGTCACTCAGGCTAGAGCGCAGTGTGTGATCATGGCTCATTGCAACCTCAGACTCCAAGGCTTAAGTGATCCTCTGGTCTCAGCCTCCAAGGTAGTTAGGACCACAGGCACTCACCATCATGCCCTACTAATTTTATTTACTTATTTATTTTTTGTAGACACAGGGTCACACTATTTTGCCCAGGCTGGTCTCGAATTCCTGGGCTCTAGTGATCGTCCTGCCTTGGCCTCCTAAAGTGCTGAGATTATAGGTATGAGCCATCACACCTGTTTTTGTGTATTCGTAAGTAGTTCCTTTCACTTGGATGCTATTTTCTGCATTCACTTAAGCTTTCTTGAAAATGAAAAAGTACATATGCAAATGAGATATTAGCAATTGCTCAAATTGTTCCCTAATATATCAGTCACGTCATTTTTTTCTTTTTTTTTTTTATTTTTGAGTCTTGCTCTGTCACCCAGGCTGGAGTGCGGTGGCACAGTTCACTGCAACGTCCACCTCCCAGGTTCAAGCAATTCTCATGCCTCAGCCTCCCGAGTACCTGGGATTACAGGTGCCTGCCCCAATGCCCTGCTAATTTTTGTATTTTTAGTAGAGACAGGGTTTTACCTTGTTGGGCAGGCTGGTCTCAAATTCCTGACCTCAAGTCATCAGCCTGCCTTGGCCTCCCAAGGTGCCGGGATTACAGGCATGAGCCACCAAGCCCAGTTGCACTTCATTTTTAAAGCAAGCATTAGAGCAGAACTGATCATACCAATTTTTTTTGAGATGAAGTCTTGCTCTGTCTCCCAGGCTGGAGTGCAGTGGCACGATCTTGGCTTACTCCAACCTCCGCCTCCCAGGTTCAAGTGATTCTCCTGCCTCAGCCTCCCAAATAGCTGGGATTACAGATGTGCACCAACACTCTGGCTAATTTTTGTGTTTTTAATAGAGATGGGTTTCACCATGTTGGCCAGGCTGGTCTCGAACTCCTGACCTCGAATATCCATATGGTACTAAATAATATTTGTAATATTTGTGTTTGTTTAGTTATATGAAGCTAGTAAATCTGATTAAACTTTTTAGTTATTAACTATTAAATTATTTATGATGAACTAGGCATGGTGGCAGGTTCCTGTAATCCCAGCTACTTGGAAGGCTGAGGCATGAGAATCGCTTGAACCTGGGAGGTGGAGGTTGCAGTGAGCCAAGATCGTGCCACTGCACTCCAGTCTGGGGGATAGAGTGAGATTCCGTCTCAAAAAAAAAAAGAGAGATAACTATTTAATGTGCACATTCTTTCTCTCTCTTTTTAAAATTGACTTTAGTAGGCTTCACATTTTAACCTAAATAAAAGTTAGTAATGAAATCATCATTTAACTGTAGCTTTGGCTGCTTGAAGGCCAGGCCACTAAATGAAATTTGTACCATTTTGTTGCAGGATTTTAGAGAGACCATTGAGGTTACAGAAGGAGTTTATTTTAGGTGTACACCGGCCCAGCTGGTTCCCTGACTGGGAACAAAATGGCTGAGCCCTTAACAAAGGCAGGGTTTGACTTTTTATACATGAAATACATAGTGGCACTAAAACAAGTTTGCAGGTGTAGAACCAAGGCAATTTATCAAGCAATGATAGGCACCTAACTTAGGATTACATATGACTGTTGCTATGCAACCCAGATGTTCACTATCTGTCGAGCTCAAGGATTCTAGCACGGGCCTTATCTGTTGCCTTCTGTTACAGCGCCCAGAAGGCTGGAGTCCTGCCTGCTTGGGCATTTCTTAATGACCTTCGCTGTGCTACAGAAACTTACAATTATCAGCTATAGAGAACAAGAATACAAGAATTTATAAACTTACACAACTTGCAAAGCAGGACACAATTCCATGGGATGGGGAAGGACTCAGGAGAGTTTGCTTATAAAAGAAAAATTTAATTTCTGCTTCTCTTTCCTGCATTGATTTTATTTCTATTAATTTTTCCTCTTCAATTTCATAAAGATTTTGTTCTCTTTTTAATATGTTAGGTAGTTAAGTGGATAATTAATTAGATATTTGCCTTTAAATGAGTCTCTCTTTTTTTTTTTTTTTTTTTTCCCAAAGCTCCTCGAATCCCAGTGAATAAAAGAATCTTTACCACAACACACACCCCAGGGTGTGTTTTTCTTGAAGTAGATGAAAGGTAAGTACTTCTTTTAAGCGTAAAAGAAATTTGTTTCTGGAAATAAATATAAATGTGAAGAAGTTTACATTATGTTTGCATGTTTATGCATTATATAACTGAAATCTATCCATTTACCTGTTTGATTTTTGTTACATGGAAATGCATGTTATCTAAATTTTTAATATAAATATCTTGCATATTATAAAGTGCTTACAAGTTATATTTGATTTCACAACTGCATACTTTAGGTAGGCCAAGAATTATTTCATTTTACAGAGGAAGACAGTGGACCCCGGGGCCAGTTTGCTGAGACAGATGTGTGGTATCTGATTGCGCTCAAACTGGGACCAAGACTCTGGTCTTCTAGCACCTATTCTGGTGTTACTGCCACTTGGCAAGTGCATCTCAAATCAGCTTAGGATGCAATTTCGGTTAGTCTGAAGCAGGGGCAAAGGTGGGGAGAACAGATGATTTTTTTGTAAAGAATTGCTCTTTATTTTGAACTTACGTCCTTCCTACTTTTGGGGGATGTTGAAATAGGCTTTGTTGTTTAAAGGATAGTAATAGTAGGTAGTTGTTATTGTGTATTGCTGTTTTTTAATATCTTTATTTGGAGTAAATATAAGTATCACCACATCAGTATCCCAAGTTTTTTTCCCACATTTATTTTAAAATTTTACTTACTCATGAAATTTGAAAATCTGGGAACCAACACACCACGCCACACATAACTGTAAAGCAAAAATGTCAAAAACATTTTTTTGATAGTTTTGTGTTTTGTTTGTTGTTGTTGTTGTTGTTTTGAGACAGAGTCTCGCTGTGTCACCAGGCTGGAGTGCAGTGGCGTAATCTCTGCTCACTGCAACTTCCGTCTCCCTGATTGGAGCGATTCTCCTGCCTCAGCCTCCCAAGGAGCTGGGATTACAGGCAGCGTGCCACCACACCCAGCTAATTCTTGTATTTTTAGTAGAGATCAGGTTTCACCATACTGGCCTCAATCTCCTGACCTCGTGATCTGCCCACCCTGGCCTCCCAAAGTGCTAGTATTACAGGCATGAGCCACTGTGCCCGGCCTTGATAGTTTTTTTAATTGAAAAATTTTAACATCTGAAAGTGAGTTTATTTGATATTTACTCTGAAACCAAATAGTAATGGCTGAGATACTTAATCTGTATAAAGTAAGAAAATTTAGTTAAATAAAATTCTAAAAATAGCTTAAATCTGTTGTGTTCGATAGTCCCAGCTACTCAGGAGGCTGAGGCAGGGGAATCACTTGAACCTGGGAGATGGAGGTTGCAGTGAGTCGAGATCGTGCCACTGCACTCCAGCCTGGCAACAGAGCAAGACTCTGTCTCAAAACAAAAAAAAAAAAAAAGAAAATGTTTGTGGGTTTCTACACATGGAAAATACTTATGGAATCCAGTTTTTTCTGAGGCATCCTTAGTCTTACCATTCTAAGTTTCCCATGAACCTTTATCCTGAAACTATGTCTATATAAATCTGTCTATCTGATACCACCTTTTGGATGACATTGTTTTTATGTAATTATAATTATGCTGTATGAATTAGCAACCTGCCTTATTCATTTAACTTCAACAGCATCTTTCTATGTTATGATATGCTTTTTGTAGACTTTTTAAAATGGCAACATTAACATAATGGAGGGCATCAGAGTCCTCTAAGGAACTTGCTAAAAATACAGATGCCTGGTCTTACTTCCAGAGATTCTGATTTAGTAAGCTTACAGTGAGCCTATGATTTGACCTCTCCGCAGAGCATGTCTAGAACTTAATGGATGACATGGGCTCCTGGCTGCCCTAACTCATGAGACTGATTTGTGCTAGAACACGAATTTGATAATTAAGAAATAACAGCTGCCAAATAATTATCATTTATATTGCTCAGAAAGGACTTCATCCCTTCTTCCCACCCCCTACCCCCCAAGTACGGAAACCTATTGGGAAATGAACATGAAATCCGATGATTGCTTGGTGTGAACATAGGAAACCGCAGCCAGTAAGATGCCCTCATGAGGCTTCCATCTGGGGCTCGGTGATGGTCTTTGTTCCCCACCCCAGTCAGGGTTAGAGATACATCCTAGATTTTGAAGCTGTATTTCAGTTTTTTGATTAAATATATGATCTGTATTTTAGCAAGCTCCCTAGATGATTCTGATGCAATGTGTCTGACAACCAACATGTGTTAGATTACGCAGCCATTTCCCCCAGGATCGGCACTTAGGTTCTTTTTTGTTTTTATAAATGCTAAGATAAACAGCTTTGCATAAAATTGTTTCAAATTTAGAATGAAATAAAGAAGTATTTTTAAAAGTATATAAATTATAGGAATTACCTGATGAGTGTAACGTGCCACCTGTGTTGTGTATCTGTATTCCAGAGCAGTGCCTTTGCTGGGTTACCTACCTCAGGACCTGATTGGAACGTCGATCTTAAGCTACCTGCACCCTGAAGATCGTTCTCTGATGGTTGCCATACACCAAAAAGGTAAGGACCTACTTCTTTATTGGAAGAAATGTTTTTCTATCATTGATTTGTTCTAGTTTTTTTTTCATCTTATTAGAGTGCAACCGTTAGCCAGATAGACAGTAGATTGAAACTGCTAAAGCAATTGTTTTCTATTTAACATACTAAAACAGGTCAGACACAGTGGCTCATACCTATAATCCCAGCACTTTGGGAGGCCAACGTGGGCGGATCGCCTGAGGTCAGGAGTTTGAGACCAGCCTGGCCAACATGGTGAAATCCATCTCTACTGAAAATACAAAAATTAGCTGGGCATGGTGGCACATGCCTATAATCCCGGCTACTCAGGAGGCTGAGGCATGAGAATTGTTTGAACCTGGGAAGTGGAGGTTGCAGTGAGCCAAGATCACGTCACTGCACTCCAGCCTGGACAGCAGAGCAAGACTGTGTCTCAAAAAAAAAAAAAAAAAAACACTAAAACATTTACAAATAAATGGCTAAAAAAGGACATTTGTAGTCAGTATCTGTGTTAAATAAATCCATTTTCATCTTTTTATTTTATATAGTCTTAAAGTATGCAGGGCATCCTCCCTTTGAACATTCTCCCATTCGATTCTGTACTCAAAATGGAGACTACATCATACTGGATTCCAGTTGGTCCAGCTTCGTGAATCCCTGGACCAGGAAGGTTTCTTTCGTCATTGGTCGGCATAAAGTTCGAATGTAAGCTAGTCAGTTTTCATATTTTCTAAAACATATCTTGTATCAAATAATACTCCATAGCTTATTGACTGCCCTCTGACTCAGTTAGTTGACACATGAACTAAATAAAGCACAGATTTTTGGTGCATTTGGAAGATGGTTTGACAGTGTATACCATGAGCCTTAAAGTAAGACATAATGTCACCCTTAAAGTAGCTTAAATGTCCATCATTAAGTAAAATCTGGAATATTTGCTTGATGTATTATTATATTGGTCAGTGAAAATTTTTGCAGAGATCACATAACATGAAAAAATATTTGGCACGTTAAATGTAAAAATTAGCATACAAAATTATTATAATTATGTTTGAAACATAAACACACTATGGAATAAGGAAAAGAGAATTGAAAGGAAATAAAATATGAATAAATATGAATTTTGGTTAAGTGTAGGTACTAGGACCTACAGGGTTTTTTCTTTTTTTTTCTCTTTGTCTGTATGTTAAAGATCTCTTTAGTGAGCATGTAAAAACTTTTTATATCAGCCTTCTGCCATCAAATTCCACTTAGTTATGTCTATTTTTGTTTGTTTGTTTTTTGAGACAGGTTCTCCCTCTGTTGCCCAGTCTGGAGTGCAGTGGTACATTCACAGCTCACTGCAGCCTGAACCTCCCGGGCTCAGGTGATCCTCCCACTTCAGCCTCCTGAGTAGCTGGGCCCACAGGTGCCTGCCAATGCATTCAGCTAATTTTTGTATTTTTCTTAGAGATGGGGTTTTGCCATGTTGCCCGGGTGGGTCTCAAACTCCTGGGCTCAAGCATCCGCCTGCCTCCCAGAGTGCTGGGATTTTGAAGGTGTAAGCCACCGCACCCAGCCTGTATCCATTTTTTAATATTTCTTTTCCTGCCAGCATAGTTGACACCAGCTTGTTTGCTTGCTGTTTCCTGTCACGTAACAGCATCACCTGGAATGGAACTAGACCAGCCCGGCCCTCTACTTCTTCTGCCTACAATACTCCCAGGCCCTTGAGTCTTTGGTCTTTTTTTTGAGACAGGGTCTCACTCTGTCACCCAGGCTGGAGTACAGTGGCACAATTGTGGCTTCCTCAGCCTCTCCAGTAGCTGGGATTACAGGCACACACCACCACCCCGGCTCATTTTTTTGTATTTTTAATAGAGACAGGGTTTCATCACATTGGCCAGGCCAGTCTGAAACTCCTGCCCTCAAATGACCTGCCCACCTCGGCCTCCCAAACTGCTGGGCTTACAGGCATGAGCTATCACGCCCAATCCTTTGGTCCATTTTTAATTGAATTCTATGCCTTTTGTCCTGGCCCTAGGTTTCCCTTCGATGTCTTTTTTTTTTAAGCATAGAAATTTTACTTGACTCCAGTATCATGCTGAGATGGAGAAGTTTGGTTTTTTGGTATCTTGCCATACAGTGTTGTCTACGTGAGCAAGAAACTGAAAACAGTAGATCTACCAGTGAGACATATTTGATCACCTGTTAATATTACAGTAGAGATGATGCAGAGCCATGGTGAGAAGAGGTCTCAAGGTTGCTCTTAGCTTTTTCTACTCCAGGGTTTGGCCTCTCCTCAGAGCACATCTAGAACTTAATGGAAGACATGGGCTCCCGGCTGCCCTAACTCATGAGACTGATTTGTACTAGAACACGAAATTCATAATTGAGAAATACAGCTGCCAAGTAATTACCATTTGTATTGCTCAGAAAGGACTTCCTCCCTTCTCCCCACCCCATACCTCCTAAGTACCGTAACCTATTGGGAAATGAACATGAAATCTGATGGTTGCTTTGCCTGAATGTAGGAAACCACAGCTAGTAAGATGCCCTCATGAGGCTTCCATGTGGGGCTCAGTGATGGTCTGTGTTCCCCAACCCCAGTCAGGGTTAGAGACACTTCCTAGATTTCTGAAGCTGTCTTTTCAGTGGTTTGATTAAATATATGTGAAATTACCCAACATATAATGAATATTCAGAATGTTTTCAGTATTTTTAAAAATCACACTGGTATTTACATCTTAACAACAAAGATTATGTGAGGAAAAAGATTTAAGGTCTAGTAGGTATTAATCTTGCTATAAAATAATAATCATATATTTATAAAGTGTAAAGCTCTGTGTAAGACAGGGTGCCAGGCCTTGAGAATATGATGGTAATAAGAATGTTCTCTTGACCATCAGGGAACCCACACTGTCATGGGAGAGACAGTAAATAAAAATGGCACTGTCGTATATAACTAGAGTTTGTTAAGTGTGACAATTGAGATGAGAAGGGGGCTGTGAGACTGTTGAGCAAGGGACCCTCCCCATGTCTCTCTCAGTCCTTCCAGCAGCGTTGCAGGCAGCCAGGTTAGGTGTCCTCACCTCTCATTTTATAGGTAAAATCCATACTCAGTGAACTGGAGTAACCTTCCCAGGGATCACCTGAGGAAGAGTTGGAAGTGGAGACTGCAGCCAGGTTTTCTTTCTTACTCCTACTTCACTTTACATACACAGCAATGTAATATTTCATGTCATTTTTGTTGCTATTTGATGAAGCCTGTCTCCTTATTGCCTGCAGATTAATCATTTTCACATTATATAATTACTGATTTAAAATACACTTTACTGCCTCATGCTTGTAATCCCAGCATTTTGAGAGGCTGAGGCAGGAGGATCACTTGAGGCCAGGAGTTCAAGATTTGCCTGGGCAACATAGACCCCATCTCTATAAAAAATTTAAAAACAAAAATTAGCTGGGCATGGGGGTATGTAACTATAGTCCCAGCTACCTAGGAGGCTGAGACAAGAGGGTTACTTGAGTCCAGGAGTTCAAGGACGTAGTGAGCCAGAATTGCACCACTGCACTCCAGGCTGGGCAAAAGAACAAGACCTTGTCTCTTTAAAAAAAAAAAAAA